TTTATAGGTAGTTCTTACCATTGTCAGCTAGTATACATTGGCTAGCATTTAACCTGTAATGTTATTGATGACATTTTCTGATATGCAGAAATTTACAATGTTAATGTTGTCAAATGCAACTTCCTTTTCTGCTGTGAATCTAAATTTTTATATTATCAAGCCCTTTTCCTTTCACGATCATTTCAAATTTTCACATGTATGTTCTCAGTGGCTTTATTTGTAATAGTCAAAAACTGGAAACAACCCCAATGTCCCTCAACAGGTGAGTGTAGAAACAATAAAGTATTAGAATTGATCATAGCATTGATACATACAACGACTTGGAGGAATCCCAAAATAATTATACTGAGTCAAAGAAATCAAACAATAAAGTATGTACTATGCAATTTCATTTAGATACATTCTAGAAAATTTAAACGAATCTCTAGTGACTGAAAGCAGATCTGGGGTTGCCTGGGAGGAGTGGGGAGAAGAGTTATCAAAGAGCTGGAGGAGACCTTTGATGCTGATAGATATGTTCATGATCCTGACTCTAGAGAAGGTTGAAGGCATATACATTGTATCAAAACGTTAAATTTTGCACCTTAAATCGTATAGTTTATTCCCAACTATATCACAATAAGGCTGTTTAAAATTCCTCTATATTATTAATTCTTATAGCTTGCTTTATTATAAATATTTAACTCTAATCTAGAATTTGTTTAGTTGTATAAACACTCTTTTCCTTTTTAATATTATTTACTGTATAATAATAATAATAATCTTCCTTATGAATATGCACAGCTTTCTCTAGCACATCTTAATACACATGCAAGTATTTGTTTGTATTCTAGGTTTTGTCTAGACTAATACCTTCTTTACTTATAGTTCAATTTAATTATAATTATAGCTTTATGAAGTATTGAATAGCTAGCAAGATAAGTTCCTCTTGATTTTAATATTCTTTTCTTGCCTGACCCTAGCCCTAATCAAAAAATTCCAGATTTTACCCTTATTACCACAAGAGAATATTTACATGCAAAGGATTATTTTAATACAATTTTGGATATCAAAGGTAATAACCATGGCAATTCATATTTTTTAAATCTTAAGTAAAAGTATAAACAAAATTAAACAGCTGCGATACTAGCTTCAGTTGAGCCAAATTAGAAAAGCCTGTTGCTGACAATCATCTGCTCCACCTTCTTTGGCCCAGATTTTAATCACTGATTCTTACAGAGAATTAGCCAGGGATTAGAATATTTCTGATGTCTCCGGAAGGCAAAAAAGAGAGCCGGACTCAAGGGCAATTCTGGGTAGCAGGGACTGTCAAGAATACAGATGGGACATGATACAAAACATACTGCAGAGATATCAGGGCCTCTCATAGGCAACTTAGACTTGTATAGTATTTGATTGTTATGTGGATATGGGAGGGAGCATACTGTGGGGCTCATAATAATTTCCTTTTATTGGGTTTGATAGGTCCAAAATGTCTGCCCTGTCTTCTGGTTACTTAATGTCCTCTCTTTTAGGTTACATGTTAGATTATTTTCTTAAATCAAAAAGAACAGGTTCACGTTTTCTTTTTCTGATCTCTTTTCCACATTGCGAATTGTAATGGCTAATTTTTTCCTATCTAAAATAAGAAACATTTTCATCCAATGTGTAAGAATCAGAATGATCACTTTTGAAGAGTGCAGAAAGACAACAATTAGGCAGTTAGCACTTATTAAATACCTACAGAGTACCTGAGTCCCCTTGAAAGTGAAAAGAGGATCTAATTTTAATAATATTCTGAAAAACTGCAAAAGCTCTTTGTAATGCCAGTTTTCTAAAAGTGAATGTCTATCATTGAGGAAACTTTTCAAGAGAGGAGGGTGCTGAGGGAAGAAGTGTGGGGTTGGTAAACCAGTAAATAAAAATCTGTGCTTTGCTAGCTAAGCCAGTGCCACTAAAGAAGTTCCTAAACTTGCTTTCCTTCATCTTTAAGAGGAAATGATGGTGCTATCTACCTTCTGGGATTGGTGAAGACTGAACTGTAATGTAATTGCAACACTTTGTGAACAGTAAGTCACCATACAGTTATTAACTTTTATGGTTAGTAAAAGCTCCTTACTTTTCTAGATAATAAGCTACATAAAATATTTGCAAAGGTAATGTCAGAGACCCCATGAATCTCTGCCATTATGAACACATTCCCTAATACCTGACAGAAACCAGGACCACTTAAACTCATGGAGAAGCAGCAACTTGAGATGGGCGACAAGGCAGAGGACACACCTCTAGAGAGGCTTCCCAACCCCACACCCCTGTGGCATCCTTCTCTAGGAATAGCCGTGGTGACAGCTGGCACATCCCTTTACTCTGCCTTCCTTGTCCCCTTATCGGGGTAGTCAGCTTGGTGCACTTGCCCCGTGACATTAAAACCCTTTGAATTCTCATCTAAGGTCACAGATAAAGACAACGGGAGCCACAGGAGACAGAGGCAGATGGCAAGGCAACTGCTGGGCCCTCAGATGAAGCTCTTCTTTGCCCTCTCCTTTCTGCAGCCTCCTGTACACCTCTAGAGTCCCCACATTTCCACTGTCCTGAGTCACGGTGTCCTCAAACCTCCTCTGCTTCCATCTGTTGCCTAGTCATCACGCATGGCCTACAGCAGTACCCTCCTCCCCAGGAAATCCAGCAGCACCGAGGCGTTGTTCTCACACTGCCTGGCATCCATAATGTTTCAGTAGCTTTAATTCTGCATCTGCTGGTATTCGTTTCAGTTAGATTTCAAGCCTGGTTTTCCATAACATTCTTCCAGTGCAGAGGATGACAACCCACCCACCCCCAGCAAACCTGCATCACAGGGAAAAGAGATCAGAAGGCAGTTTGTACTTGACTCTGTTCTGGGGTCTAACTGTGTTATGCTAGAGCCACTCTCTTGACCTTGACTCGGTTACCCATCCACTCCCTATGACTAAGCTCTGGCCAGTCTCTGGCCTGATTCCCCTATCCTAGCTGCCAATCTCTCATTTGCTCCCTTAGGTTATAAAAATGTCAGAGTATTTAATTCCTAGCAAGATGGCAATGAACAAATTGACATATTATTCAAGTACAAAGCATAGAAGGGGATTTCATTTGCTCTCATTAGTACCATTAGCAGCAGTAGCTCTCTGCCAGAAGGTCAGGGTTATGGAGCTATACAGGGAGAATATTTCACAGAGGCATATTCTTTGAGGTGAAAGCTTCAACTATGCCAGTCAAACTGATTGAGAGTATTTGGGTAGAAACAGGGTTCCCCCACCTTCCAGGGGTCATGCTCCTCAACAGCTCTTCTCACACAGTGCATGAGAAAAATCTTAAACTGCCCCGTTACTATTTCTGAGAAGGAAATAAACACCAGAAAGGCTTGTAGAAGGAGACAAACACCAGAAAGTCTTCTAAATCTTATTAGATAATAATTGCTGACATTTCTAAGGGTTTATTATATGCTAGGCACTTCGGCAAGCACTTTACAAACGTCATCTCTTTACATATAATAAGCTTTGCGTAGATGAAGAATAGGCAAGATGGTCTGGTGGATAGTTAGCTCACCCTAGCTTTCTCTCTTAACTAACTATATGCTTTTAGGGGCTGTTACTTGACCTCTCTGGCTCTGATTTCTTCATGTGTAACATAAAAGTGCTAAAAATACCCAGCTCATAGGGTGGTTGTGAGGACTAATGGAGAGGCATCCTCTGCACTGGTATTTATTCAGTGGGTTCCATGTGTTAAGGACTGTTCAATTAATTTCAAGGATTACTCAAAAAGCACTTGGAACTGTGTCCGGCATTTAGGAAGTGTCCTGTTTTGTCACACCAGAAAACTCAAGGGATTCTTACCCTGTGTGTGTGTGTGTGTGTATGTCTGTCTGTCTGTCTGTCTGTCTGTCTTCCCGTGTGTGGCGGTTCCCACTGTCATCCAACATATGGTCAGCACCTCGCCCACTGGTACTGCCTTTCTTTCATTTCAGCTCTTCATTATCAAGGCCACACTCCATCTCCTCCACCTCTTCTGCTGCATTTTTACCAACACTCTTCTCCTATTGCAATGATCCTAAGACTGGGAGACATCAAAAGTAACTTCTTCTTTTTTTTCTTTTGTATGCAAAAAATAAATAAATAAATAAATGAGAGAGCTCATGTATAATGGCAAAATTTGACATGAACATACTTTATATACAGAGTTATGAAAAATTGTGCTGTGAATGGATAATTATGAATGTAATTCACTCCACTATTGTCATGTATGTAAGAAATGAATGAATGAATAAATTAATTTTTTTTAAAAAAGTAACTTCTTGGAAAACAATGGGGTTCTGATACCAGAAGTCCTGGCTTCTCCTATCTTCTAATCCACAAAGGGACCTGGATATACTGTCAACAGCATGGAAAAATCCCAAGAAAAATGGTGCCAAAGTGGGAACATAATAGTGTACCCCAATCAAAAACGAAGTTAGGTTTCACAACGGTGAAGGGGACTGTGTTTTGACCTTTCCAAATGATCTCTAACTTCACAAGAATTGCTACATGTTGGAAAGAGAAATAAATCACTAAGAGCCTTAAGATTTCAACGCAGGAGAAAATCCCATAAAGATAACGCCTCAGTTTCTTTATATCCCCACACCATACTGTGATGCGCCATACACTTTGTGAAAGTGGATGATGCAGGGTGGTTTGAGAAGGTTAGTCTTATTAGCAAAGCTTGGATGTTGCAAGATCTGCTCAGTTTCCTTGACCATCACAATCCTGCTTGAGTGCTGCAGGCAGTCACTGATGGCTTGGGGAGGCTTAAAAAACAACATCAGATGTTTTCTTGCTAACTTTTGTAAAGCCAGGCAACTGACAAACACCTTTCAAATACACTCCTTTTCAAAGTCTACTTTCACTCCCGTGTCACAGAGCCACTCTCATTTTTTTTTGTCCTGGAGGGTTACATGTCCTGCACTGACTTCAGGACTCATTTCTGACATCTAGTGTGGTTTCCCCTGATTTATTTTCTGTGTTGCTGCCATTATTAACTCCTCAAGTGCATATGGCTTCCCACAGTATTCAGCTATTCAGTATTCAGGTAGTGTTCAAAAAGGAAGTTTGAATTCTTTACAGAAGCAGGGAAGTGGAGTCTCAGCACAGTTGATAGAGCTGACTCTGGTCTATCATCCTGGCTCTGCTCTTATGTGGTGTGCAGGTGTCTTCTCAAAAAACAAGGTATGCTTCATAGGTTGTGATGAAAATTAAATAGTCCACAAAAACAGCCTAATGCTAAGGGCATGGTCATTGTGGTGGTGCTAATGATGTCATGATGATGACCTGATCCCTGAACACCTTTTTGAGTTCTGGTGTTTGTTTAATTTGTGGCTATTTTAAAAATCACTGGGGAGCTTATTTTTCTTATTGGTTTATGAGACTTCATTAAACATTATGAATATTTACTTTTTCTACTCCACATATCCTGTAAATATTGTTTCCAGTTTGCCATTTGTCTTTTAATTTTGCTTGTAGAATTTTTCAGAATAAGTTTTCCTCTCACCATTCCTTTAACTTTGAGGGCATAACTTTTCTACTTCAGTTTCTGTATTTTCTCCTACTACTTCATGGATCCTAATTTTATCTTGGAATTTCCAATCCACTTGGCCTTTTACTTCATGTGTGGGATAAGCAGAGATAAGAGATTTTTCTGATTATAATATTTCTGCGAACAACCCCCAAATCAGCAGATTTCAGATACAAGATATTGTTATTTGCTTAAAATGAATAATTTAGAATTTAAATAGAGTGAAAATATCAGGAGGGCATACATAGTGATTGTTTCATAAAATACATGTCAGAGTGGGGGAATTATAATAATATCACTATAAAATATATCCAGCTAATATTATTATCAAAGTAAAAGCAGTGGATTACTCCTTTGTACTAAAAATATAACAAGTGATTCATTCCCAGAAATGAGTTTATTCTTTTCCTATCAGATACTAGCCCACACATTGTGCAATTCTTGATAAGTTTAATCATTTTTCATAGTCTCTATTGCTTATTGAACAAAGCCCAACATGTATTATAATATCTGCTAAGAACATAACAAGCACATCTATTGTTAGTGATTTATAAGTGCTATTAATGGAATTAATTAAATATGAGAGTAAATTTCCGAGAATCATATAACCATTTAGAAATGTTCATGTTCTTTTTTAAACATTGACCTTTTACTAGATATACAGCCAAGCTTTCTATTTTATTCTCCAAAGTAATCATTAATCCAACATCATCATCATCATGATAATTGTACCATTAGTTTTTCACTGAAAGTTGAAGAATCCGAAAGAAAAAAATTCCTTTTATCTAATTCCTTGTATACAAAAAAATGGTGATCAATAATAAAATTTAATAAAATAATAGGTGCAAAAATAACAACTCTTAAAAATGGCACATAAAGCTGATAATAGATCATCATTCCTTGGTTTCATCTTATTCTAATTTAGAAATATTGTCTTGGATTACAAAAGTTATTAATTTTCTTTGTCAATACAATTCTCCTTTATTATGACTCTGTTGAATGTCTATTGCCTTAATAGAGGTAAATGTTTTGCAGATAATTAGCAATTAGTCTGAGCATCTAGGGAACTCTAGAAATGAAAGCTAAAATGTTAAGAAACATCAACAATTAACAGTAAAGCATAATTTAAACAAGAGTTGACAAAAGTATTCAGTTAAAATGTCCTGGCAAAATTCATAGCTTTTTCTGTATTCAAAAAAAAAAAAAAAAAAAGGAAAAAGGGTGGGGGAGAATGAAAGCAGATAGAAGTGACATGTTTCATAATGCTATAATGATTTTGATATTTGTTATCATGAGAGGTTATGGCAAAAATTATTTTTAAATGTAACAAAAAATGTTTCTGTTGTAACTCCTTGCTCAAACTTGGAAGATGACTTGAACATACAAAAACAAGAGACTAAGGAACTAGTAATGAAAATCAGCTCAGAAGTGAATACAATCAAATCTAAGTTCCCCTTTTTGAAGAAAATGTAGTACATATTCGACTTGGGGTAATTTATTGACTTTAATCAGTGCCAGCTAGTGGCAAATTAACTGACTTAACTCACTAGGAAAGCATTTTTCAAAGATTTTCATATGTGGAAAAACTGCAGGTGGACAGTAAATACACTGTAATAACAGTAGTCTCTGCTACTGTGTAGTTAGGTTTTGTCTCTAAAAGCTGCCAAGACAATTTGGTCCAGAAAGAAGTTGCAAAAGTTAGCTCTCTGCTAAAATGTGAAATGCATTGTAAGGTCCCCTAAGCAAGTCAAACACAAAACATCAGTAAAAACTATAAACAAGGAAGCAAAATAAGTTATCAATAAGGAAATGTTCCTCTTCTTCACTAGCTTGCCCTGTGTATCTGGAAGCCTCCCCTTGATGCAGGCTACCAGGGTGATATATAAACAGCTTGGGAGGAGGCTACTGCTCTCTGGGATTTGATGCCTCACCAAGTCACACTGAATTGTTTACATTCAGGTCTTTGCCTCCAAGCAAAAGAGTTCATTTTACACTCACCCGTATTATATTTACTTCTATTTTTAAGTCCACCAGGACTCTTATAGCTGCAACACCTAAAAGAATTGAACGTTGCTGGAAATAAAATACGTTGCCAAAATTATAGATAAAACTGAACTATTCTCGTTGGATGAGGCTGGTGGTAATATGATACAAGAAGGAAAAAAAAATCCCACATACAACAAATAAGCTAAATAACATGCTGGAGAACTTTGTCCTACTGCTTAATTTAGTATGAGACAAGCAGCTTTGGACTAATGCCACTAATAAGGTGTCCCCTAAGAAAAGCGGACTGTTTTCAAAGAACAAAAACAAGGAAACACTTTTCTTGGTTTCTCACTGATCTGAAGACACTAATTATTGCATTCTTATTATTTCCTTGGCAGTTTTCTTTCTTTGACTCTCATACACACACACACACACACACACACACACACACACACACACACACACACACACAAAGAACAAAAACAAGGAAACACTTTTCTTGGTTTCTCACTGATCTGAAGACACTAATTATTGCATTCTTATTATTTCCTTGGCAGTTTTCTTT